AGCCCCGACAGCAGGCCCAGAGGCCACCTCAGCAGCAACAGAGGGGCAGACAGCAGGCTAGAGTTTACGCGGTCGATCAGGCTGAGGCGGAACAACACCCAGCTACCATGTCTGGGATGCTTATGCTAAACGATATTCCTGTCTTTGCCTTATTTGATACTGGAGCGACTCATTCTTTTATATCACTACGATGTCTCGATGCCATCGGAGTTCATGCCATTACCGCTGTCGATCCTCTCGAGGTGAGTCTAGCCTTGGGACGAAATGTAGTGACTTCTGCCAAAGCCACAGATCTCAGTCTCTCTATCGGTGGCCGTATATTGTCTACTGATGCTTATGTTCTCGAGATGAGGGACTTTGACCTCATACTCGGCATGGATTGGCTAACACGTTTTCATGTAGATATCCGATGTCATGACCGGGAGATTATCCTTTCTCTTCCGGGAGATGATCAGATTACTTTCTTCAGTACTAAGACTCGTTCATTGCCACATGTTATTTTTATGGCGAAAGCCAGGAAGATGTTGCGACGAGGCAACTGTCAGGGTTATCTCGTCAGTCTTATTGATGATTCTCCGAAGGCACGAACACCTCACGATGTTCCTATTGTTCGTGAGTTTGTGGACGTGTTTCCGGATGAGCTTCCAGGAGGGCCACCTAACCGGCAGGTAGAGTTCTCCATTGACCTCATTCCAGGAGCTGGCCCAGTTTCTAAAGCACCCTATCGTATGGCGCCAAAAGAATTACAAGAGCTTAAGGTGCAAATCCAGGAGTTATTACGACTCGGTTTCATTCGGCCGAGCGTGTCACCATGGGGAGCACCCGTTCTCTTTGTCAAGAAGAGGGACGGATCCATGCGCATGTGTATCGACTATCGGGATCTTAACCAGTTGACGATCAAGAACAAATATCTGCTCCCCAAGATCAACGATTTATTTGATCAGCTGAGGGAAGCTTGTGTTTTCTCCAAGATTGATTTGCGATCAGGCTACCATCAGCTGAAAATCAAGGAGTCAGACATTCTCAAGACCGCTTTCCATACTCGTTACGGCCATTATGAGTTCGTGGTCATGCCATTCGGACTCAGCAACGCTCCAGCCGTATTCATGGATCTGATGAATCGTATTTTCCATCCCTATCTCGATCAATTTGTCATTGTTTTCATTGATGATATTCTTATCTACTCTAAGAGCTAGAAGGAACATGAGGAGCATCTGAGGGTTGTTCTTGAAACCCTTAGACGAGAAAAGTTATATGCAAAATTCTCCAAGTGCGAATTTTGGCTCTAGCGAGTAGCCTTTTTTTGTCATGTAATTACGCAGGCAGGTATTGAGGTCGATCCAGCTAAAGTTGCAGCTGTTCAGAACTGGTCGACACCGAAGAGTCCATCCGAGGTTCGCAGTTTTCTCGGTTTAGCTGGTTATTACCGCATATTCATTGAGGGTTTTTCCAAGATTACCCTTCCTTTATCCCAGCTGACGAGGAAGTCTGTAAATTTCGAGTGGACTGATCGATGTGAATCGATCTTTCAGGAGCTTAAGAAGAGGCTAACTTCAGCACCGGTGTTGACTATTCCTGATCCTTCTCGGAGTTTCACTATTTTTAGTTATGCTTCAAGACAGGGTTTAGGATGTGTATTTATGCAGGAGAGCCAGGTCGTTGCTTATGCTTCACGTCAGCTTAAACCACATGAACAGAACTATCCGACGCACGACTTGGAGTTAGCTGCAGTTGTTCATGCCCTCAAGATTTGGCGACATTATTTATACGGCAGTCAATGCGAGATTCTCACCAATCATAAGAGCTTGCAATATATTTTCACTCAGAAGGAGCTCAACATGAGACAGCGCCGTTGGTTAGAGCTCGTCAAAGATTATGATTGCACAATTTAGTATCATCCGGGGAAGGAGAATGTCGTTGCTGATGCCCTAAGCCACAAGGTGAAGGGTGACTTGACGTATGTTGTTACCTAGCAGAGCCAATTGATTCAGGAGTTCACCCGGATGCAGATTCAGGTGGTTGACGCACTTCCTACAGCCATTAAGGGGAGTTTCATTTCCATGCAGGTTCAGTCGACGCTGAGGGAGAGAATCCGGCGGGAGCAAGCTTCTGACGAATTTGTTCGTGTCATTGATGCTAAAGCCCGTGCCGAAGGCGTCGAAGGTTTTTACCGAGGCACTGATGGGACCTTGGAGTTTCGTGGCAGGATTGTGGTGCCAAAAGTCGAAGCGTTGAGAAAGGAGATTTTGACTGAGGCTCATACCGCACAATATCTAGCCCATCCAGGAAGCACTAAAATGTATCATGACCTGAAAAGGTCGTTCTGGTGGCGAGGGCTGAAGAAAGACGTAGCTGATTTTGTACGGAAATGTTTAACCTATCAACAGTCAAAGCCGAGCATCAGAGTCACATAGGCCTTCTACGACCACTGCCGATTCTGAAGTGGAAGTGGGAGGAGGTTGCAATGGATTTTGTCACGGGGTTACCGAGGTCGTCTGAACATCACGACGCTATTTGGGTCGTGGTCGACGGATTGACTAAGGTTGCTCATTTCTTGCCAGTATCGATGAACATGTCTTTGGACAAGTTGGCTGAGATTTATACCCGTGGGATCGTTCGACTCCACGGAGTGCCTGTTACTATCGTGTCAGACAAAGATCCCAGATTCACTAGCATATTCTGGCAGAGTTTGCACAAGGCAATGGGCACAAAGTTATCATTCAGTTCAGCCTACCATCCAGAGACTGAAGTGTTGGAACCCATGAGGATCTCGATATGCACAAATAGCAGAGAAACATTCAAAATAAACCTATGCGCAACAGATCTAAAGGTTTGATGAAGAGAACTTACCGCTTAAAATTTATGTAGATCTGGCTGGCCCGAACAGTTGACCGCAAATCAAACCTTCTCGGAATCGAACAAACTTGACCAATCCAGAAAGCTGACGTCACGGCGAAGTCAACGGCGTTGACCGGTCAGAAAAAGGTCGATCTACGCGCTCTCACGCGCGCGCGTTGTCCTCGGCAGCTGGAACCTTCCAGCGGCGTGTGCGGCAGCGTACGGCGGCGATCTCGACGGCGATCTCTTCGTCTCGTCGTCCTGGTCGTCGTGGTATGGCCAATTGCTGGTTTTGGTCTCCGGTTTGGATGTATGATTGGAATCTCTATATACCTTAAGATCTTCTACTGTATTCTCAAACAGCTTTCTAGATCTTGTATCAGTGGAGCACAAGAAATAGAAGAACTCCTTGGAAGAGAGAGAAACAGAGCTGGACGCAATTCCCAAGTTATGGGATTGTTCTCA